ATAGTAACAACCGCATTGTCGGTATCTTCAACCACGTGACATAGGTTGCTTTTATTAAAAAGTTCGCGAAACTTTCACGACGAGTAGCTTAACGTTAAAATCTTTAAAATGCCTTTTTCATAGCTCTACATATTAATTTTTGAGAATCATAGCTGAATTAATTTATCATAAAGAAGTATGCACTTAAATACAGTAAACAATAATAGTTTGAATACTTCACGATTTTAAGAATAAAATGGAAAACTAGAATAAATAATTGGTCGATTTTTCAGAAAACTGTAGATTTTTTAAAGATTTTGCACTACAAATGTATATGTTGATACTATTTTGAGGGGGTTATCGTGGTACAGTCAATTTCAAAATTGAATTTTTGTGTTAGAAATGTCTTTGTTGTGATTATACTTAACAAAACAGGTAAATAATTTAAAAATTAGGTGTATGGAACAGAAAAATGCCCAGAAAAGTAAACACAAACGTTAAAACAACAAATTAACCTAACTTTCGCCTCAGACTGTACCACTATATAGGTATTCTAGTAACGTTGTAACTGGACTTTAAACTGTTATATTTTAAAAACGGTGAAGCTAGGCTTCCTCAATTCAAGTATACTTATTTCAACTATAATAAACCCTAACATACTAATTTTTTTTTAAATTCTTGAGAAAATTTCAAAAGTTATGAGTAGAAACGTGCATTATCCGACAAGTCCATCTAAAAGCATGTGTATAAGTGGCCAACTTCGCGATTTTATTTCTCAAAAATGGTGTATCTAGGCTCTTTGAAATTTCGATATGTTATTTATAATACTGAAACATACCTATACAAATTTTTTCAGAAATTTCTTAAAACAATGAAATATCACAACATCCCCTGTAACTCTTAATCGAAGTTTTTGCTAGCAGAAATAGACGCAGACTCAGTTTTTACTGATATAGAAATTCGTAGTAAAAAAATTTTTTTAGTTCTCACAATTCCTGATTCTAAATAATTTATCACGTTAGTATAATAAAGAGTCTTATCAGAGTAATAGGCGTAAGAGAGCCTTTTTAAACTAAATTTAAGAAAGAGCCTTCAATTTTTATTTCTCCGATTTTAAGTTGGTACTACATTTACTAGTGACATAATTTTCTACAGTATAACTAATGCTTACAAATCCACATTAATATTTTCTACGAAAAAATATGCTGTTCAAAGTTTCTACTTTTTACTTCATAGTTAGTATGAGTGACGAATTTCCTATACAGAGGATATTGATTTAAATAAAATATAATATGAAAGAAGTTACTCACACTTTTTTCAGAATAAGTAACCGTAATATCATCCGTATTTTTAGCCAAAACTATGACATAAACAAATGCTTCTGTTTGATACCAATCATATCTTACTTTTGAAACAATTATCTGAAATAAAAAATCAAAACACCTATCAACGAACTAAAGTTACAAAAGTTTTGTATGCATGCACGTTGCAGGAAAAATCTTACCGACTCTTTTTCCATGACAATAAGAGTGGGGATCAATAATAATATTCAAGGATATATACTCAATAATCTAAACTGTTTCTCTTTTTTTAATTATATTTTCGATTTATTGTCTACAATGAGTTTTCAGATTTTATCCAAAGAAATTAGATTTGTACGGCCCATCGACATGTAATAAATTTAATATAGGCTCCGTGCACATGCGGTGGGTCGAGGGCATAGACAGAGAATAGTAGGGAGATTGCTGACTGCCATGCTACGGAGTGTGCCCACTTTTTTCCAGTGGTTCGAGCGCCCCGCCACGGCCAAGCGGCCGAACCAGGTGCACATTTTTTTTATTGGAGAAGCACGGTAGGGGTAAGTGCCTACGAGGAAAGGAGTGGATTTGCATGGAAATGTCCATATAGGCGCATATCTTGGAGACGCGTGGAAGGGGAATACCGAATGTGCGCCTACGAGGAGAGGAGTGAAAATCTCGGCTGTATAGCTCTATAGCTGAGCACATAGCCAAAGCAAGCAACGACACGAGTTTTTCTCTTTTGAGTCTTTTGACTTTGCAAATCAAGTATATGCTATGTATATATCTTCCTGTATTAAATAGTCATAAGAGTTAGAGCGAGGTTTTGCTCCCCCCCGCCCCCCACCTCCTCCCCACTCCCCCCAGCTCTCCCTCAGCTCCACCCCAAATAAGGTAGTTATTCTTTCATTTTCTTGCATTTTTCGAGTAATCCTACTTTTTTGCTAGCTCC